GTGTTAGTAAGTTATGTTCATTTTCCCTGGTTCCAAGACTTACCATGGTGGCAGTCAACAGTATTTTTGTAACAGAGTATATCAACTCAAAATAAGCATGGCAAGATACAGAATTAAGTCTACACCGAAAAATATAAATATCCTGCCTGATGTTAAAGCTGTCCTTACTTACTTTGTGGTTTGTCAAATGTTATTATTTATCGGTGGTTTTTAGGGAGTATTTGGACACTATTTAAAGTGGGCTTCAAAAAGAAAGCTTCAAAAAGAAAGCATCCATGAAAGTCAATATTTTTCATCAGTTTTCTTTTATGCAGAATCAACATCAAAATAAAACAAAAAGCCAGGTCAGACAATACTACATCCCAGTCTTCACAAATTTCTCCACCAGTGACTGAAACATCATGGAAATCAGATTCGAGATTCCACCAATCCTCAGCCCCAATTAAGGTCAATAAAGATAATGCAATTTGCAGGCACAAATGGGAGGGACTGTTCACACACAGACAATCTGGTCATCACTGCTTGCTAAGTGCATGTCTAACTTAATTCATTGACTTCCTCAGTCGAGCCAGTGTAGCCACATTTAATAGGGGCATGGCACTGAATCACAACCAGCAGAATTTGTCTAGCCTATCAGGTAATGGCTTCAGGTACTTAGAGATAAAAACAATTATGTGATTTCAGAACCCAACTGATCTCAATAATTATGGGCAACCTCAACAATTTTTATTGACTTTCTTCTCAAATATTATTTTCATTTTTTCTCTGCTGATAGTGAAAATGTAGATTTGGAAGCAGTTTTTAACTAAAAGCATATTATTACCTAGCAATATGTGTTATTTCAAATTCATAATACTGTATACTGGTATGCCAATTATACGTCTAGACATGTCAACACATGTACTGTAAAATTTCGTTCAAAGGTTACCAGTGAAGATCAGGGGAGAATATGTCTTCAGCAACTCATGCTTGCTGTAAAAGGTGACTATGCTTGTTCTAAGAGGCTACTGACAGGATTGAGTAGTAAAACTTGCTGACTTGGTTGATGCTTAATCAGTTGCGTAGATTGATGCTCATCATATCAATCCCTGGATTGTCTGGTCCAGATTTGATTCTTTACAGACAACACAACAAACAAATCATTCAAAAGTATACATACTGATTCTATATTTTGTCACTGAAATATAGGACACTTAAGAAATAAAACATATCTGTATTAATTGCAGGTTTTTGGAATGGTCCAAATTTTGACTGAATTTCATTAAAAATGTCCAAAAGAGTCTTGTAAAATGAATATGTTCCAGAATATCCTAATGCCATTGATCTGTGGCAGACCTGCTCAAAGTTGATTTGTTTTCCTTTCCCATTCATTTGGGGTCATTAATTGTTTGATGATTACGTTTCTGAATCAGTGCTAAATCTCGAAATACCTTATTGGTCAGAGTAAAATATTCAAGGAATGTTATTCTTGGACATGTTGGTTGACCCAAACATTTTTGACGGTGAAGAAATGTTTCAATTTTGATAATCTATGAATAGCCAATTATTACATACGAAAAGAACTTAAGTGGATACTGATGATACAGAGCTACAGATAAGCAGTGTATTTGCGTAAAATACCCCACAGAAGTATTCAAAACCCAATTACTTTCAATTAACTTGCGTACTACAGAAACACATCTATATATAAAAACAACTCGCATAAATACCAAAAGAAGCTTTTTCAGCATGCGTACAAAGGAGCTAATTTCCGAAACACAAGTACGAGCTAATTTACTTTCCGAGTCAAGTCTATTTATTTAGAAGAGTTATATATACATATAAAAAAAAAAAAAATCTTAAAATGTCCACTCATTTTGGGAAAAATCCAATAGAGTGATGAATAGATGAGTGAAAAAAAATTGGTTACCCAATGAAAAATGTAAATGTAATAACCCAATTACAATAGAAACCCTAGAGTAAAAACTCAATTGCTCAAAAAGTTATCTGGAGCTCTGTGACAAATATTTTTCTTGTCTGTGACAAGTTTTGGTCTGAATGCTCTTGAAGAGTTCCTGATGTGGTTGGGGCGGTCGGGTAGCCTAGTGGTTAAAGCGTTCGCTCGTCACGCCGAAGACCCGGGTTCGATTCCCGACATGGGTACAATGTGTGAAGCCCATTTCTGGTGTCCCCCGCCGTGATATTGCTGGAATATTGCTAAAAGCGGCGTAAAACCATACTCACTCACTCACTCCTGATGTGGTTATCCAGGAGACTCTGCAATGTGATGTGTGAGAATCCTCAGACATGGCATCCAGTGATGGATAGACAATGCTCTGTGGTTAATATAAGTTATAACACTACATCACCATATCCTGCAATGTAGACTGTCCGCACTATTTATCACACACTATTAGTAATTTGTTTATGCTGCGCTTTGCCGCCTGGGGCTCCTGTCTGTGAGAGGTAGTAGCTGACTATCTTTCAGGCGAATAGGAGAAAAGTTGGTTACTTCAACAAGAAATGTGTCGGCTTTAGAATAATTATTTCAGTAAAATGAAAATTAAGGTTACAGGTACCTTTGCCTATTGCCTCTTTTTGTAATTGTATATTTAGAGCATACCCATATTCCCCTCAATATATGTATCGTCTTTGTTGTGTAAAGTCCACACTACATATTTTGCCATAGAGGTGAGACCTCAGGTATCCATTGGTCGTATCCAACTAGACCGCAGCTCAATGGTTATGTAGGGGTGGTGGGGTAGCCTTGTGGTTAAAGTGTTCGCTCGTCACGCCGATGACCCGGGTTTTATTCCCCACATGGGTACAATGCGTGAAGCCCTTTTCTGGTGTCCACTGCCGTGATATGGCTGGAATATTGCTAAAAGCGGCGTAAAACCATACTCACTCACTCACTCACTCACTCACTCATCGGTTAATCCCAATATTTAGGGATGAAACAACTAGTCTATCTATATTGTTACTTGTCTTGGACTAACAGGCTAGTGGCTGTGTCTATTGCTGGACCTGTGTCCCTTTCTGCTAATCTCCACATAAAGGCTGGCTCCATTCAAATGCCTGATAATGGAGCTGTTAAATCCATTGCGTCTCTCTATTCAGACCATGATTCATTTAAATAATTATTTTGTTGTAAAGGTTCTCTGTCATGATTGAAATGAGGTCGCCATCACAGAAGCAAGTCAATGTATTCGGGAACTCCTTGAGGCAGTGGCTTCAGCAAGTGCCTGTCCTAGTGTACTGCTCAAATTTCAGACTAATTCTTTAAAAACGCATCAACTGAAAAGACTTGCAGTTGTTAAGTAGGTTTGTATGAGAATAGAATTAAAACCAACACTTGAAAGTGCCACTTAATGAGTTCTATTGTGTGGTCATTTAAGTCGTGGGCAGTGTGAGCCACGCTTTGATACCTGTCTAGTACTGAAACTCTGACAGTAATGCACAAGACGTATGTATTGTTTGTGAAAAACCGTGCTGAGTGTTTAATGGGTGTGAGGGGTGACTTCATTCCCCACTCACTAACTGTATACAAAGTGTCGTGACGAACACAAGGCCGACACAAGGCCGACACAAGTGATACAGAGCAGCTTTACCATGTAACACCACAAGGAAGTGAGACAGTGCGGCTGTTGTATGAATTTGAATTAGGACGTCTATGTACTTTATACACGCCTACGGAAAGAATTTAAGAGCTTAAAAAATTAAGAAGCTTGGTAAACTGCTTAAAACTTCAAACTTGAGCTGTGGACCACTGTGATGTCTGGGACTGGTTGTGCTTTGTGTTACTGTCAAGATGGACAATTTGAAAAAACAAAAGTAGAGATTTGTGGGATTATTGCAGTGGTAGAAACTAACATTTCTAGTCCACTAGTCCTTACGATGATAACATATAGCAAAACCCTTTAATATGGCAAATGTCTACTAGTCCTTATGATGCCTTAACTATTGGGCAGTTTGGCAAGGACTGCAGGACTAGTGCCAAATTCTAACGCTGGATTGGAAGAGCAGCTATTACACTAGTCAGCTGGACAAATGTCAGGACTAGTTGTTTTAGATTAAGGTGACCTGATTTTCTTGTAGAAAATATGAATGCCTGTCTATTTGTTTTCTTCCAAAATAATAAAAGGAAGGAAATTATTTATTTTATTATTTAATATTTTTTCCTTGATTCGTCCATATCTTTGTGCAATAATTTTAGTGTGTCTATTATGATGTGAAGTTTTTAAAAAAGATATCATAAAACATTGATAGATTCATGGCAGGACTTTTTCTACTAGCAAAAGCATAGAGATTTAGTAATACAAATTATGATGATGATGATGATGATGAGGAGGAGGAGGAGGATGATATCATAAAACATTGATAGATTCATGGAAGGACTTTTCTACTAGCAAAATAGAGATTTAGTAATACAAATTATGATGATGGAAGGACTTTTTCTACTAGCAAAAAATAGAGATTTAGTACTACAAATAATGATGGTATGATGATGATGATGAGATGATGATGATGATGATGATGATGATGATGAAGGGATGACAATGTAATATATATTAGAGCTTTAGACATGTTAGATATTTTCAGACAACATATCAGACATTAGATGTGCTCTGTTACAAAAAGAGTGTTCCTTTTCATGCAAAGAAATATCAATATAATGCCTAAATGTTTGTTGAAGAATGATGAATGTGCATGTTTTCCACTCTTATGTTATTATTATGATATTTGTTGTTTATTGGACCATGATACCGGAACCACTGCCTCCGTGTTCATGGACGAGACAGGAACAATGTTTGAAATGTAGAAGTAATTTTGACATGTGCAAGCATCAATTACAGCCACTATTAACATGTGGACTGGAACATTTAGCTGGGTCGCTGCGACCTTGTCTAAGCCTAAACACTCCTTGTCTATGTGAAGGCTTTACACTCTGCTGTGTGTCAGCCAGCCTCCCCACATGTATGTGACCCTTCACCTCTGACCCATTGTTGCATCTATTTCAGGGTCGCCACACAAAAACTGGACAGCTGGCAGCCATTAAGGTTATGAATGTGACCGAGGTAAGAAATAAGCCAATAAAAAAATAGCATGTTGGAAATGGATAATAATTGAGCTGAGAAAATCGTTGAAATTTATTCCAATTCTGGAGTAAAAACAAGTTGAATATGGTTTGCACACACTACATTAAAGTTCACATTTACTGCACAATATGTAAGCAGCCCAATGGTAACAGTCACAATCTATAGAGAATAGATATTACCTTGTGTTACTTTTTACATATACAGTAGCTGTTAAGTGTGCCTTGTTACATATGCTGGAGCAGTTTATGGTGTCCCTTTTTACATACCAGGATACAGTTGCAGTTAGTGGTGTATATATTTATATATACAGTAGCCGTTAGTGGTGTATATATTTACATATACAGTAGCCGTTAGTGGTGTATATATTTACATATACAGTAGCAGTTAGTGGTGTATATATTTATATATACAGTAGCAGTTAGTGGTGTATATATTTATATATACAGTAGCCGTTAGTGGTGTATATATTTACATATACAGTAGCAGTTAGTGGTGTATATATTTATATATACAGTAGCAGTTAGTGGTGTATATATTTACATATACAGTTGCAGTTAGTGGTGTATATATTTATATATACATTTGGAGTTAGTGGTGTATATATTTATATATACAGTAGCAGTTTGTGGTGTATATATTTACATATACAGTAGCAGTTAGTGGTGTATATATTTATATATACTGTAGCAGTTAGTGGTGTATATATTTACATATACAGTAGCAGTTAGTGGTGTATATATATATACTGTAGCAGTTAGTGGTGTATATATTTATATATACAGTTGCAGTTAGTGGTGTATATATTTATATATACAGTAGCCGTTAGTGGTGTATATATTTACATATACAGTAGCAGTTAGTGGTGTATATATATATACTGTAGCAGTTAGTGGTGTATATATTTATATATACAGTTGCAGTTAGTGGTGTATATATTTATATATACATTTGGAGTTAGTGGTGTATATAATTATATATACAGTAGCAGTTAGTGGTGTATATATTTACATATACAGTAGCAGTTAGTGGTGTATATATATATACTGTAGCAGTTAGTGGTGTATATATTTACATATACAGTAGCAGTTAGTGGTGTATATATATATACTGTAGCAGTTAGTGGTGTATATATTTATATATACAGTTGCAGTTAGTGGTGTATATATTTATATATACAGTAGCAGTTAGTGGTGTATATATTTACATATACAGTAGCAGTTAGTGGTGTATATATATATACTGTAGCAGTTAGTGGTGTATATATTTATATATACAGTTGCAGTTAGTGGTGTATATATTTATATATATAGTTGCAGTTAGTGGTGTATATATTTATATATACAGTAGCAGATAGTGGTGTATATATTTACATATACAGTAGCAGTTAGTGGTGTATATATATATACTGTAGCAGTTAGTGGTGTATATATTTATATATACAGTTGCAGTTAGTGGTGTATATATTTATATATACAGTAGCAGATAGTGGTGTATATATTTACATATACAGTAGCAGTTAGTGGTGTATATATTCATATATACAGTAGCAGATAGTGGTGTATATATTTATATATACAGTAGCAGATAGTGTTGTATATATTTACATATACAGTTGCAGTTATTTGTGTACATTTATATGCAGTTACTGGTGTATATTTTTACATATACAATAGCAGCTATTAGTGTATATATTTACATATACAGTAGCAGGTATTAGTGTATATATTTACATATACAGTAGCAGTTAGTGGTGTATATATTTGAATATACACTATCAGTTAGCGGTGTACATTTTTACATATACAGAAGCAGTTGTGTATCGCAATACTTGAGTCATGTCACAATACATGTCGCAGTAGTAAAGTCATGATACGATGCATAATGCTTGAGTCGTGTCACAATACATAGCACAATACTTGCATCAAAATGCTAAATGTATTACAATACATGGTTTAGGCTGTATTCGCGAGAACGTCTCCATGTTGAAAAGTGGCTTGGCTGACACGAGGATGACTATTTATGTTTACATTGCATGACAGGGTAACTTAGGCTCACTCAAATAATGCTGAGAGTCTTGTACAATCAGATTTAGCATTTTGTTTCATGACTGGCAGTATAGTAACACTAACCCAACAATTAATAGGCTGGGCTGTTGTAAAATCTCGTAAAGACTATTTTTGAAAATTTATGCAGAGTTAAGATCCCTGTGAAGATCTGGGGTAGAATAGGTCTTTAGCAACCCATGCTTGCTGTAAAAGTAGGCTATGCTTGTCGTAATAGGCTAACGGGATCAGGTGGTCAGGCTTGCTGACTTGGTTGATGCATGTCAACTTATCCCTATTGCCTGGATCGATGCTCATGATGTCAATCACTGGATTGTCTGGTCCAGACTCGATTATTTTCGATGTTTAACAACAAACAAACAAACAAACAATAATGCTGCAATTAGTATCTAATTTGTGTGAGTAACCTTGAAGAATCTGCAGAATCAAACCTGGCCATCAGATAGTTGGCTGGAACTTATATGTTTCCATGATCTGACAGTCCTGAATTATTTACAGAATGGTGAGAAATATTAGGATTTGGTTACTAAAGAGTCTTATTTCTGTGTTTAGGAGGAGGAAGAAGAGATCAAACTGGAAATCAATGTGCTCAAAAAAGTAAGTATCTCATCAGGACAGCTCCTTGTCTGCCACCGGATAGAGGACTTCCTTGTTCCCAGGCTCCTTTCTGAAACATTCAAGGAAGTTTTATTGCTAAGTTTCAGCGTACTTTAGAATTGGTTTCATTTTCCTAGGATTTCATATTCCTTGATCTTTGTTAGCTTTAAACTTAAAGGAAGTGTGATACATTTTGACTAATGAATGTGTAATAGTTGTTTTACAGATAAGAATGTTTAAGAAAATATTTCAGTTAGATTATTACTCGGAAGCCTGAGACAAGTACATTTCTGTTTGGTCCAGAAAGCTCAGCTAATAATGACGCTTATAACACTAAATTGTACTGAAAATGAGGCTTGCAGCTATGTTCGGCCTAGTAGTCTTAAACGTTTTAGCAAGGACTGTTACATGTAAATAAGATATTCAAGATCTGTTTGGTTTTCTCTAGACTCCCTGTTACTATAAGGGTAACGCTTGTTTTCAGGGCATTATCATTTGCAGAAGCCCAAGGTCTTCCATTAACTGCGGAACCGTTATTATAGCTAAAATGGGTGGAATTTGTTATCAAATAAAAATAAAGAACAATATCGGTTTTGAAACATTTACTGCAATCAACACACAACAAATGTCACTGACCCACGTTTACAAATATGGAAACGTCACAGAACAAACCAGATGATGTCACTATTGAACATCAATATGTCGTCACCTAACAACGGGCGTGATAATGGCCCGTTGTCAAGCAATATGAGGACATTATCAAGTTACAGTGGCCTGCTCATTTCTGATAACATGAGGGGCAGTTTAATGATAATTCCTTCCATTTAAGCTATAAGTATGTATGCATTTGATTTCATTTAGATGATATTGGAAGTGCTACCTCAATGTTGAAAGCCTCTTTTTCTACTTTCATTGCATACACGTTTCTACATTACAGTCCATTAAACAAATAAATGCTTTGAAAACCCTTTCTGTCATCTTTGCCTATTTCTGTCTACCTTGTTTTCGTGTGATTTTGACTGGAATTAGAGAGGAAATTATGAAACACAGAAATGATAAAGTAATTTGTTTATTTATTGTGTGATGTCCTTTTCAGTATTCCCATCACCGGAATATTGCAACTTACTATGGTGCTTTTATCAAGAAGGGGCCTCCAGGGAAAGATGACCAGCTGTGGGTAAGTTGGGGAGGGGGTGTCGGAGGGGAGGGGGGTAAGGGGTGGTGCATACAGTAAGGACACAGGGAACACTGGAAACAATCCTCACATTGGACGCTTGTCATCTCAAGCCAAAGGACTGCCTCCGTGGTCTAATGGTAGAGCGTCCGCCCGGAGAGCGGAAGGTCTGGGGTTCGATCCCCAGCCGCATCATACCAAAAGACGTTAAAAGATGGTACTTGTTGTTACCCTGTCTGGCGCTCGGCATTAAGGGGCTAAAACAAGGACTGGTCGGCTCGGAGTCAGTATACTGTGTCTGAGTGGGGTATTCATGTTAAACTGTGGCATGGTATCTCAGTGTGCTAGCACTATAAATCGGCATCAGTCTGGACTAGTACAAGCACACACATACACTTGCATGCACGTCGCTATATAAGTGCAATAACCTTGGACGCGACGTTAACCCCATTTCACCTCACCTCTAGCCTAAAGGGACAGCAAAATACCTTCAGATGTTATTGCAATTACTATTTACATAACATAGTATTTCATGGGACAAATTATCCAGAATGTTTCATGATTAAATGAAATATGATTTAGATGTCAGGAAAGAAATATTCAAGAATCCAGGAGATTGAAAATTATTTTCGTCTGTAAGGAAGACATTACTTGTGTTATTTTATGAAGACAAATTCTAAAAAAACACATTTAAAAATTTATTGACATTTTTTCTTAAATTGCTTTACATTATTCAAACTTATACAAGCCATACAAAATAGTGATACTGGCAACTCAGTACAAGGTTTAAGTTATTTTTGTAGTCTTTAATGTTGTATTGCAATCATTACAAAAGATCATGTCAAAAGTCTTACAATGTATAGATACAAAATATGCTGGTAGTGTAATAGACAGTTGAACCTGAGTTTGGTTTCATCGTAGGTTCAATCGTAAAGCTGGATTTTGTTTAAACCTGGGATTGGGGATGAGATGACATTTGTCAGAATTGAGAAATTGAGAAAAAAGAAACCACAAGGGGAGTGCAATGTATGGAAATCATATGACCTGGGAATACAAAGATTCAGATACTTTCCTGTGATTTACTCTGTTTAAAATAGGGGGGGTCGGGTAGCCTAGTGGTTAAAGCGTTCACTCGTCACGCCGAAGATCCGTTTCGATTCCCGATATGGGTACAATGTGTGAAGCCCATTTCTGGTGTCCCCCCGCCGTGATATTGCTGGAATATTGCTAAAAGCGGCGTAAAACCATACTCACTCACTCACTCGGTTTAGAATACAGTGTCGGTAAAGGCACTGAAATACTGGGAACTGCTTGCAACAATAATTGATGAAGCACAATTGAGTTGGTAGTGTTTGGAGGTATGCAGAGGACAAGGAAAGATTTTCTAAAACTAAAAGAATATATCTAGTATCTGAGCAACAATATATTCAAATATTTGTCTCCAGTCTGAAACTTCAGCCACCAGTCCAAAGCCTAATATGATCACATGATCAGCTGATACAAGTATTATATGCTATTACTGCAAGTAATACAACTTTGGTCGAGTAGACTCAAGAGTTTTGGCAACACTGTGTTTGTAGTCAGTCAGTCTCTGCTTGACGAGTTTGACAAGCACCCTCCGGACGCTCATCTACCATTTCCTACAGTTTTTGGAATCAGTAGAACCTTTGATCATTCAGTGTGTTGTTATCTATTTCAGCTTGTCATGGAATTCTGTGGTGCTGGCTCAGTGACAGATTTAGTCAAAGGTGAGTTGGATGTCACATACTATTACTTATTTCCTGTGGCATTTATCCTGTTTTATTCTATTTCAAAGAACATACAGCCATTGTTATCGTATTCAATAAGATAAGCTTTTGTCTCATCTTTGTGGTTAACAAATCCACAATCGGAACACTTGGATCTGAATGATGTTATTCAGGACTGCTGGGATGCGTTGTACAAAGCATCTTATGGCTAAATAGAGAATATCACCCTAGTGATATATAAAATATATCAACAAGAGTTGAAAAAAGTTGAAAAATTCTGAGGCTTGCCATATATTGATATATTTGATTTCAAAAGACACGAAGTTGAGATTTTATTTATCATCCAACATCATTCTTCCAACTTTTTCAGTTTGTAGACAGTAATAAGCAGTGTCTTGAGTGTAACAAGTACTGCTAACAGCTTCAGTAGCAGAGCCATTAGTGATGTCATTTGATTGTGACGTCATGGTAATCCATGATGTCACCATGGTCTGCGAAGCATTGTGATGCAATTTCATTGCAGCGATATCTACAATGTAGATATCACTTGATCTCACCCAAGCGATATCTCCTGTGGGATTCAGTTTTTGATGATAAGGTGATAGTAACTCCCATACCTTAACATAGACTAACGACAGTCGTAGCGCTAAAGTTGATTTGTGGAAACCATATGCCGGATTTAAAGTTTAAGGATGTGAGTGAAGTGGATATTATTTATGCACCAAGATTACAGCTACATCGGATGAGCCTGTAACTAGCGGTGTCTGGACAAGACAAACCAGTGGTTGATCGTCATCCAATTATCATGTTAGGTACCCCAAATGACAAGAGTATATACATATATGTTAATACAAATGCTGGGCCCCATCACACAGAGTGCTCTTAGCGCTAAGGTGATCGTAACTTCCATACTGTCATATAGGCTTACGATAGTCGTAGCGCTAAGATTGCTTTGTGGAACAGGATCCTGCTCCAGAATTTCCACAGTGGCAGTTATTAGTGGAATTCTTTGAACCTTACTGTCATGGAGTAGTTAACATGTCTAATGAACTTGACAATAAAATTTATAAATGTAAGGAATATTTTCATCATTACATCTAATAATAATGCTTGAGACATCAAATTAAGGAAGTAAAGAGGATCTGTTTGTTAAAAGGAGATGGCTGTCCTTTGCTCCAAAAGGGCAACAGCAGGCAGTTACGCAATTGGCTGGAGGAAGGAAATAGCAATCTCATCCTGACACTAGCAAGATAATCCGCATGTTAAATAACGCCTCCAACACCAAGTGAGAGTGATCCAACCTGTGTCCATCATCCCTGCCAATACATACACACAAATATAACACACAAATATCGGTTTCATTATCTTACAGGAATCACTGTGTTGTCCTCACATTTTGCACTTGAGGGTATTATGAAGTTTTGTGATATTATATGTACAGGAAATGTTGAGAACAAAATTCCTGTTTGCCTGAAGGAAAGATTCATTGCCTGAGTGGAAAGGTAGTTATTTAATTTTCTGTCAATCTGTTAATATGACCTTTCAAATTTAAAAAAAACATTTTATCAAAGGTGCCATTGATGTAATTTCCTTGAAAACAGAGGGAAACGACAGATTTCTTGAGTGGTATTGAGGATTTTCCGTGGTGGATATCTGCGACGTCTTGAATGTGTATGTGATTGCGGCTTGGGTTAGTGATGTTTGTTTGTGAGGCAAACACAGCTGTAGGGGGCTAATGGCGGTGGGATGACTGGTGTGAGACCAAGACACACGTGTGACCGACCTGAGACGACTGGCGATGTGGTGTGTGACTCCCGGTGACTTGTCTGTGTCTGAGTGACTCCACCGACCCACAGACAGGATGCTTGATCAGTGCAGGAAGCTGCATCAACAAATCTGCCGGTCAGGAATGTAGACATATGGTATCTGTCTGGGACTAGTTCAGCCTCCATGTGTGACAAGTACACAAACGGATATATGAACTATGTATCCAAAACAAACCTGTATTTTTGAACAAGAATCTTTGAAATTATTTTTGAGGAAAATGCCCTATATTTCAGTAACATGTTCATTGTGTTTGTCATTAGTCTACATATGCTACTCAACATAGATAGTGATACTATGCTGTCATACTCAGGATGGCAACTTTTAGACCATCTGCATAGATGATTATTTTACCTCAAACGAAGATAGGGGCAGTCGGGTAGCCTAGTGGTTAAAGCGTTCGCTTGTCACGTCGAAGACCCGGGTTCGATTCCTGACATGGGTACAACGTGTGAAGCCCATTTCTGGTGTCCTCCGCCGTGATATTGCTGGAATATTGCTAAAAGCGGCGTAAAACCATACTCACTCACTCACTCACTCACTCACTCACTCACTCACTCACTCACTCAAATGAAGATGAAAGTGTGTTTCGTGGCTATATCAAATGCTATGAAGACGTATAAAAGAAATCAGTTGCATGCAATCCCCACCTTGACACTAATATCCCAGTCAAAGGTTGAGTAGTATGTTTATGTGCCAACTGGTGGTCCATGTTGTGATTCAACATCTTAACGAATCCATCCCCACACCACTTCTCACTTATTCATCAACCCACACAATTGCCAACCATGATTACAGACATAGATGAATAATCTCAAACTTTGATAATTGACAGCTGAATAATATTAACAAACTTGGCCATGAACCCCAGCCATCCATGATCTGACTCAATCCTGTTCTATGTGAAATTAGTGACTCACCTGATTTCTTACCTGTCTAACGCATGTCAGCGAGTCTGGAGCGGGGGAGGAATTGGGCACACTTAAACAAAACTTCCATGTTGAATCATCTTAAGCAGTCTTTCTTTAGCAGTGTACTGAGACTCTGGGGACTAAGGTGACACCTTCATATTTTTCAGTCTATGGATTCAAATTACCAGAAAATCGATACAAATTGATTGAAGTTATTTTCATTTGCCTGACTGTCTATCCCTCACGGAGGAAACATATTAAAAGATACAGATAAACAATTCACATGAAATTTAAGTTGCTGTTGACTTTATCAAATGCATTTATGTTGTCTCAGGCTATGTGAGACCCATGCTAAGTGGAAGAAAGTCGTCACAGAAGTATATATATGTATGATATTATACCAATATAGTTTGTCGAGCACTTTATATAATGTCAGGGGCGGTCGGGTAGCCCAGTGGTTAAAGCGTTCGCTCGTCACGCCGAAGACCCGGGTTCGATTCCCGACATGGGTACAATGTGTGAAGCCAATTTCTGGTGTCCCCCGCCGTGATATTGCTGGAATATTGCTAAAAGTGGCGTAAAACCAAACTCGCTCACTCACTCATTATATAATGTCAGCATATATATTTTCATACAAATCCAACAGCTTCAAGCAACCAAATGTATTTGTTTTTGCTTTTATTTTGACCGATTCAAGGTGATTGTTTTTGAAAAGTCCCTAAACAAACCAAAGTTTGCCTCAGACCACTGGCAGCCTCCTGTGGATATCTGCCCACTAAGTGATGTGACACACCAAATAGGGTGCAGTATGTCAAGTGTGTAGGTGAGGGTTCTTGAAGCCAGGACAAAAATTTGCAAATATGTCAATGGTTTGTTGTTGACGTGCCTGCACGTTAAGATATGTGCTTGCTGAAATTAACAAGTTCATTATCACGAATGTGTGAAAAGTTAAAAGTGGTCATTTCAGACTTTGTAGATTTTTAGACATGTAGTTTTGTAAAGGTGTCTCCATTGACGTGGGCGTTTTGCCAGGTTACATACATGGTCTTAGATGTGCATATGGTTGAGGTGTAACATAATGGTATTGTTTATTGACAATAAAAGGATGATACCTCCTGTTTTCAACAGGGTCATCAAGTGGTACTCTAGTGAAATAAACAGCTAAGGGCTAGTGTTTGAAATAAAAAAAATATTGCCAGGTTGCCATCAGTACCCACAGACTAGTGTTCCCGTTCACCGGTAATTACGTTTCTTTACCGGCAAAATTAAGCTTGGACTTGTAATTCTTTTGAATCTTTGTTGTTGAGCAAAACATCGTTGATAGTCAAATAGTATATTTTTTCAAACAAAGTCAGCATTATCACCTTGTATGTTTTCATCAAGGTTTCCTGTTGTCTATTTTCAATACAAGGAAATAATATTTTGCATTGCTTCGAGGTTTAATATCTATTTGTAGTGACTTAGTCTTGAATCAAGTGACCTATTCCCCCCCCAAAAGAGAGAAAATTGTGACTAAACTTTGTGTGAATGACGTGTAAATAAGTTACCTCAGAGATGATGTCACTGAAATAGTCAGCCTTAAAAGTACACTGCATTGTAATTGATGTTGAAAGAATTAAAACCAGGTCATTTTCATACCATTTTTGGCCCGTGAAGATCCGGGGTAGAATAGGTCTTCAGTAACCATTGCTTGCCATAAAAGGTGACTATGTTTGTCGTAAGAGGCAACTAACGGGATCGGGTTGTCAGGCTTGCCGACTTGGTTGATGCATGTCGATCCCAATTGCGCGGATTGATGCTCATGTTGTCAATCACTGGATTGTCTGGTCCAGACTCGATTACAGACCATCGTCATATACTGTGATATTGCTGAGTGCGGCGAACAAGCAAACAAACAAACAAAATCATAATATTTTTATTTGTTCAAAGTTGGCACTGACAAAAATTGGATGGGACTGGTAATTTTTATAGTTGACAGTCCACTGGGACTGGCAGTTTCAAAAGCCAGAGGGGAACTGCAGACTTGAGAACCCGCAGGCCCAAACTAGGCCCTCATTCTAAACACTGCAGCTTGTTGTGACAAATAAATCAACAAATAAATCTACTGCAGGCCATAAGTATCCATATAAATCTGAAACTACAAGCACAACACAAGATCTACCTGCCACAGGCCTACGGACAGGCGCTTATTTCGACCACTGTATGGGGCAATACCTTTCACCTTTTCTTGGTATTGTTGTATGGATCTATAACATGTACAGAGTTCTGACTATTTCAAGCTCCCTATATGACCTCTGAAAGCAGATTTGATTTGTCACTTCCCATATCAGTATGTCATCATGCCCGTATGTCAGGACTCGCCATGTCCACCACGGGTTTGTCTGGCCCAAACTCAATCGTTTAAATGCCACTGTGATGTATACTACTCAACAATTGCTAAGGATCACAAAGAAGACTTTTTGATCCTTAGCAAATGTTGAGAAGTATAGTTTGATAATTGCTCACTGAGGCTTGAAGGAAATCGTTTTGTGTTGAATAGAGCTGGAACCAGTTTACTGGTAGTCACCTTTGTTGTAATATGTAATTATCCCCCGCCCAACAAAGTTGGCGGGGGATATAGAAACAGGCTCCGTCCGTCCGTCCGTCACGTTTCGTTTCCGGAGCATAACTCATAAACCGTTCAATATTTTTTCATCAAACTTTGCAGGTCTGTCAGGTACATGCTTAACTGGTGCCTTTTGCTATTTAGAAATTTTAGAAATTTTAATTTTTTACGTTTCCATGGCAGGAAGATGGACTTAGGTTCCAAACTCTTCTTTTTTTTACAATTTCCATGACAAGTTCCACCTCGGTTAATAAAGGTTAGGGTTTGTTTAGATTTAATTATGTCATAGATTCTGCAACAGGGGCGGTGGATATAGCCACATTAGTTGCAAACTCTTGTTATTTTTTTAATGAGGAGAAAATATGACGATGGAATAATAGGTTCCAGTTATCAGTATAAATGTTCAATACAATAATTAGCGGGCAGGTAGCCTAGTGGTTAAAGCATTCGCTCGTCACACCGAAAACCCGGGTTCGATTCCCGACATGGGTACAATGTGTGAAGCCCATTTCTGGTGTCCCCCGCCGTGATATTGCTGGAATATTGCTAAAAGCGGCGTAAAACCATACTCACTTACTTCAATACATTAAGGACTAGTTTATGGTTTTGGGGGGTTCCTAATTTAGGATAAGCACATTAAAATAGTGAGACCTCAGTTTCCCTCCTGCCCAGGTGGTTGTGAAGCGGCGTCTTGCGTCATCCTTTGGCCTATATTCAAACTGGCTTGTGCAAATACAGAGTTGGGTCCCAATTTTCCCTTTAGAAACACCCAGTAATCAATGTGAATTGTCCCTATGTGTTTTGAAACCCTCCTAATTCTTGAAATTTGGCAAGTAGGGGATAATACCTGCTTATACTACAGAGATGAGATAGGAGTCATTGTTCACCGACACCCACTGGAGTTTGTTGAAATCCTCAGTTTGCTTGCAAATTCTTCTTGATGTTTTGAATCAAATTTTGATCATGCTTTTGTCTCATCTTGTTCCAGCAACAAAGGGCAACTGTCTGAAGGAAGAATGGATTGCCTACATTGCCAGGGAGATTCTGCGGGTTGGTTTCATATGCCCATGTGTGAATGGACAATCAAATAAATGTTGTCTATTACACTCACAAAGAAAATACAGTGATCAATAGTTTATAAGATGATACATATTTATCATGAAATGATTAAGATGTTTTTACTGTGGAAAGTTTTTTTGTGTTTGGTATGAGGTGGTTGTGAATAATTCTCTGCATTATTTTTTAACTGACTTGAGCGGTTAAAGTTATCTTTATGAAGATGAAAATAAACAAATATGGAAGAACTTTTGGAAGTATTATTACGTAGAACAATTTTGATCAGGCAGATAGTTATGATGTTTCTGTGTTCATATTCAATGACCTTAATAAAAGTATACATTCAGAGGAGTAAATACACTATTATCCCCTGCCATTTAGTGGGGTGGGGGATATAGGAACGGAATTTGTCTGTCCGTCCTTCAGTCAGTCCGTCCTTCTTTCTGTCTGTCTGTCCATCTGCTTCTCAAAGGGGACAAATTTTCTCAAAAACTGTTTATTAAGTTAGAGAAATGAATTTTACATAACTGATAGTACTGGTCAGGATATTAATTAAGTTAAAAAATTGTTGTCTTCATTTCATTGTTTTACACATTATATAGCTGGAATATTGCTGAGTGTGGCGTTAAACAACAAACCAACCAACCAAATCATTGTTTTACAGAGTTATGGCCCTTGCTCAGTGCTTCGTCAACTTTTTGCTTATTGCGTGAAATGGGGACAAGTTTTTCTCAGAAACTATTGAAATTACATGAATGAAACTTTGCATGCTTATCTAAGAGATACTTGTCAAAACTGTTCGAAAATTGGTCCTGTAAATTATTTTTTTCCAGAGTTAGTTCCTTTGCTACTCGTTTTTGGAGTTTAAACATACACAGTTACAGCCCTTGATCAGTGTCAGTTTACAGAGTGCATGGTGTCTGCAATGGGCTCAAGCTTTCTCAGAAACTAATGAAGTTAGCTTTTTTGAGAGATTCTTTGAGTTTGAGAATTGGTGCCATAAATTATGTTTTCCAGAGAAGTGACTTTTTGTGTGTAGAGATATGCTATTGGTATTTATGAATTCCTATTGATATAGTACATGTACTATAATAGGACAACAATTGCTACAGTGATGTAGTCCAATAGTTCTATGTTGTTACTAATCATGACACACCATGAAGCTCTAAATGATACGATGTAGATAATTTGAGCTTGTTTGTTTATTGCATTTTCATCACTCCAAAGTTTTGCCATACACCCAAATGCTTTTGTTTGAATTTTTTATTTTAACATGTGATTGTAGTATTTCTGTAGATGTTTCATGTTGGAGTAGAGATAGTATAAATGTTGATTACCATGGTGATTGACACATGCATGTGACATCCTCTACTCACGTTGCAGGGCCTAGCCCACCTCCATCAAAACAGAGTCATCCACAGGGATATCAAAGGCCAAAATGTTTTATTAACAGACAACGCAGAAGTCAAATTAGGTGAGTATGAAGTGCAATTCAGAGTTGTCTACACTTCATGTGAGATTGTGTGGACAATACTTTTTGGGCCACTTTATGCACGAGATGCAAAAGCGCAATAGTTGATGCAAAAGCGCAATAGTTGACGCAAAAGCGCAATAGTTGATGCAAAAGCTCAATAGTTGATGCAAAAGAGCAATAGTTGATGCAAAAGAGCAATAGTTGATACAAAAGCGCAATAGTTTATGCAAAAGAGCAATAGTTGATGCAAAAGCGCAATAGTTGATACAAAAGCGCAATAGTTTATGCAAAAGAGCAATAGTTTATGCAAAAGCGCAATAGTTGATGCAAAAGCTCAATAGTTGATGCAAAAGCGCAATAGTTGATGCAAAAGCACAATAGTTGACGCAAAAGTGCAATAGTTGATGCAAAAGCACTAGTTGATGCAAAAGAGCAATAGTTGATGCAAAAGAGCAATAGTTGATGCAAAAGAGCAATAGTTGATGCAAAATCGCAATAGTTGAGTTGATGTATGATTAAACATGTGCTAGGGAAGTTGTTCGGTGTGAACTGCACAGTTAGATTTGTTAACGATCTGTGGAAGGAATCTAAGGGAACGACGGGACGCATAGAAAATATCACCTGAGTGTCTCTTGATTTGAAATATATCAACAAGGGTTGATAAAACTACAATAGAGATTCTGTTTGTCATCCAAAATCAAAATTAAATTGCTGCACTAGTTAGTTCCAGACACTTGCATTCCTAATGTTATTGACAGATGTGGGGGCGGTCGGGTAGCCTAGTGGTTAAAGCATTCGCACGCCACGCCGAAGACCCGGGTTCGATTCCCAACATGGGTACAATGTGTGAAGCCCATTTCTGGTGTTATATGGCTGGAATATTGCTAAAAGCGGCGTAAAACTATACTCACTCACTATTGACAGATGTTATGTTGTTGTATTTTCATTTGTTGTATCATTTCCAGTTGACTTTGGTGTTAGTGCTCAGCTAGACAAGACAATAGGGAGGAGAAACACGTTCATAGGAACTCCTTACTGGTGAGTTGAAGGTCCACAAGCATCCTACACCTACACATGGATCAACTCTCAGAGGCTCTCTCATGTATTTCTGTACTTACACTGTTTTAACACTTTTGCTTTTGTACTATTTAGCTCAAATTATGTATGTATTCTGTCATTTAGGAACATATATAGAAACACTCCGAAAACACATACAGAATGTTTTGTAATATTTGGCAAAATAGCCATAAAAATCAAATTAAGTTGTTCTGGGTATTTCAAATCAAACACAGCAATGTCATTGTACAGGTTTGAATCCCATTCGATGTGTTAGGAGATGGACTTGATCCAATAAACACATCTTGTCTGATTTCAAGTAAAATATGAATATGAGTTTCCAAAGTGTTCAGTACATCAACACAGCATGTGAATAAAATAAACTTAACATGAGTTCCTAACACAATTAGTAACTGCTTATAGGAATGTGTTCCTACTTGAAAAGTGACACATTTCAGTTTGTGACAGGATATTATCAATATAAAACTAATGCTTACAGGCAAATAAATATAATTAAAACTTTTTACAAGGACACCTGATAATTTTTCCAAGTTGTAGGCGCTTCGAGTTACAGTTTTTGCACTAGGCTCTGACAGAACACATTTCCTGGCACAGAATAGGGTTCCAATCATATCCCTCTTTGAACAGTAAAGATAACCTGTTCAATGTAATTTCGAATTGCTTTACGCAATAATTATGCTCAGATTCAATCACTTTAGAATGACATTTTAGGGTCTTCAATAAAGTCATTCATGGACTGATGATTTGTACTGTGTGTTTCAGGATGGCGCCAGAAGTTATAGCTTGTGATGAAAACCCAGATGCTACCTATGATAATAGGGTATGTATAGATATGTGCATGTTGGAAACAGTGTAACACTGGCACTAGTCACTGATGATTATGAACTTTCTATCAGAGAACCTATGGGAACTTACTGGGAACCTATTCTAACCCAGAATCCCCCAGTGCCGTCTGTTCTTTGACTGTCACAGGTTGCTGGGAACCTATTCTAACCCAGAATCCCCCAGTGCCGTCTGTTCTTTGACTGTCACAGGTTGCTGGGAACCTATTCTAACCCAGAATCCCCCAGTGGCGTCTGTTCTTTGACTGTCACAGGTTGCTGGGAACCTATTCTAACCCAGAATCCCCCAGTGCCGTCTGTTCTTTGACTGTCACAGGTTGCTGGGAATCTATTCTAACCCAGAATCCCCCAGTGCCGTCGTTCTTTGACCATCACAGGTTGCTGGGAACCTATTCTAACCCAGAATCCCCCAGTGCCGTCTGTTCTTTGACTGTCACAGGTTGCTGGGAACCCATTCTAACCCAGAATCCCCCAGTGCCGTCTGTTCTTTGACTGTCACAGGTTGCTGGGAACCCATTCTAACCCAGAATCCCCCAGTGCCGTCTGTTAAAGCGTTCGCTCATCACGCCGCAGACCTGGGTTCGATTCCCGACATGGGTACAATGTGTGAAGCCCATTTCTTGTGTCCCCTGCCGTGATATTGCTGGAATATTGCTAAAAGCGGCGTTAAACCATACTCACTCACTTACTCACTGTTACTTTCTATCGCTGCGGTTTTGTTATGGCTTTGCTGCATTAGGTTGTCGTTTTCCCTGTTGCCATGGAGGCATGGTCACATGTGTAGATTCCACATGATGCAGGATATGACCAAACTAGTTTTGACAATGTGAAAGAAATATTTTATCTCCCTCTTTCTTTTGTAATATTTGCTCACTGAACATATGGTAACATTGTATTCCAGAGTGATCTGTGGTCTTTAGGCATCACAGCAATAGAAATGGCTGAAGGAAAGCCACGTAAGTACTCATGCTGAACTTATGCTTGTCGTAAAAGACGACTATGCTTGCCGTAAAAGGCGACTATGCTTGTCCTAAAAGGCGACTAACGGGATTGGGTGGTCAGGCTCGCTGACTTGGTTGATCCATGTCCACGATCCCAATTGCGTGGATCGATGCTCATAATATTAATCACTGGATTGTCTGGTCCAGACTCGATTATTTACAGACCGCCGTCATATAGCTGGAATATTGCTCAGTGCGGCGTTAAACAACAAACCAACCAACCATGCTGAACTTGCTCTGGCAACATTCCAGTTGTATTTAAGCATTAATTTAACATTAATGAAATGTCAGATAGTTTTAAGTGTATGCCTTTCTACCTGCCATCATTTTATAAAATAAAAATGTTTTTGTATTTCATTTTACTAAATGTTCATGAGGAACATAAGCTGCAATATGAATGAAGTCATTGATCTGTTTACTTGTGTTTTTTGTTGTTTAGGGGTGCTTGGATAGTTTACTAAATGCGCTAAAATTCTTTTTTGTTTCCAGCACTCTGTGATATGCATCCTATGAGAGCTCTGTTTCTTATACCCAGAAATCCACCGCCTAGGCTCAAAAACCCTACAAAATGGTGAGAAATCATTATGTTCATCAGTTTCTATACCGATATGGTATTTCATATAGGGATACGCTTGTAGGGAGCTGGGGTAGAATGTGACCCCATCAGCCCATTGCTTAATGCTGTTGTAAGAGGCAACTTAATGGATCAAGTGGTCAGGCTCGGTGATACGGTTGATGTCGTGTCAATGTACCAGAGTGGCATGAATCGGGGCTCATAATATCAATCACTGGATTGTCTGGTTCTAACTTAATTGGTTACAGGCTGCCATCATCTTGCTTGAATATTGCTGGGTCCTCACACAATGAGGGAGATGGGTTTGTGTGGTGGAAGGGTACTGGGGAAAGCAAGACCTTTTGACCTTTAGATATGACATGTCATAAGCGTCTGGCCTTTTAATAGATGTGTGCCCCATCCACAGCACAATAATCTCCATGTTTTTAAAAACTGGATAAATATTGAAAAAAATGAGAATTTTTCACAGCCTATGATTCCAGCTGATCTTTGATGTCCTCATCAGTAATTTTGCAGTTATTCATTGCTTGCTTCCTACTAAACATGACAGTTTCAGTCGTAACTGGAGGAAAGCACTGGATGATTTCCTTATTTGTTATAAATATTCAATTTTGTAAAATAAATTCTGAATTATGACAAGGATTTAAAAAATTCTAAAATTTTTCCTACTTATCGATTTAATATATGCGTTCAATATCAGCTCTTGTTTGTGTTTGACACCTGTTCCCTGTAGCTCATGGTATGCTTGTTGACATTACTCAAATGACAAGTCGTCAGGTTTCATACTGGCTAGTAAATGTCCTTGAAATTGACATTTTCCTCACAGTCCCCATCTCAAGTAAAGTACTTGAACATAAATCTGTCCACAGTTTGCAAAAGATATTAAATATGCAAAATATCTCCATAGTTTGAAAAAAAAAGCATGTTGAAATATTTGTAAGACGTTGAAGAATGAAAATATTATGAGATATATATATATATGTATATTTATCATTTAACTTAAGCATTTATCCATGACATAAGCTTATGACATAAAAACATGTATGTCATACCCCAATGACATAAGTATGCAAATTAGATATGCAAAATAGATAACCGGAAGAGCGAGCGGTTTGATTTGAAACTATATATTATAAGTGAAGTTACACCAGAGATATAATCAGATTACACAGAATCGTTGTTGTTACCGTTATTGTTACCGTTATTAAAGTTTCAATTATTCTGCAAAAGTCTGTTCAAGTATTTTGTTTAAAATAATCCGAGGAACTTTTTTTCTCAGCGAATTGTTTATTTTGGTTTACATGGCTATGGAAAACATGTATCACTACGCACGATCTATACGTAAGATTTCGACAAGTTGCAGATGTTAATGTTTAATGCAATTATTCCTTAATTTGGAAGCAAAAATGTGAAAATGATAAATAGAATTCATCACTCGTGTTTTTTAATATGGGAAGTATCAACCTCGTCCCGTTAATCGGTATTTGCCTCGCCAAAGGCTCGGCAAATACCGATTAACTAAGACTCGGTTGATATTTCCCATATTAAAAAACACTCGTGATGAATCCTCTATATATATACTAGTCAAAAGAAGTTAAGGACCCCCTGATTCTTTCCTATTACTACTGTTAAGTTGTCATGCCATGACAGATAACTATAGCAATATGAAAGAACTGGGTGGTCTTTACCTTCTTTTGAGTAGTGTATAGTTAATAATCATAGAATTTTATCCCTTCCATAGAATGTCTGCGGAGTCGATATGCCTGATTCTATAACAAATTGAACAGGTACCAGGCACCATTATACTGTATGTAAATTTGAGTGTGAAGTAGACAGTGTATACGTTAACAAGTAAGACTTGGAGTTATAGAATGGTAATATTTTCATGTTTGCATGGTTTTGATGGGGGAACCTTTAGATTGCCTTGGCAGAGACTCTTAATTGCCAATCTTTCCAGATTGTGTAACTGAATCTGTTTGTTTTATTTTTCTTAGGTCCAGCAAATTTCACAACTTTGTAGAATCGTGCTTGATCAAGGACTACACCCAGCGACCTAACACGGAACAGCTTTTGAAGCATCCGTTCATCCGTGATCAGCCGACAGAGAGGCAGGTCCGCATACAGCTCAAAGATCACATAGACAGGCATAAAAAGAACAAGAAGGGTGAGTGAGCTGGGTAGGAGGTTAAGTGTGATTGGGGGGGGCGGTCGGGTAGCCTAGCGGTTAAAGCGTTCGCTCGTCAGACCGAAGACCCGGGTTCGATTCCCGACATGGGTACAATGTGTGAAGCCCGTTTCTGGTGTCCCCCGCTGTGATATTGCTGGAATATTGCTAAAAGCAGCGTAAAACTCACTCACTCACTCACTAAGTGTGATTGGGTGCTAGTGGACAGGGCTTGTGATCATTAAAATGGCCGAGGACAAGAAAATGGATTGGTTTAACAGTTAACAAAGTGTTGGTTCTCTGGCTTTGACTCAGTAATAAAGTAAAACCAAGTTATAGGTTGATGAGCACACTACAAAACAATGATGCACCTCTCTGCACCACCTGTTTAAAACCCAGTACCTGAAAATCCGTGATTTTGTTTTGAAGAATAAATATCTTCATTAGATGTTACCAGGCTAGCACATTCTTTTATGAACTTTTCGTCAGTGGTAGGTTTTGTAAAATTATCTCAACTCCAGACAGTTGAACTGTAATAACTTTGTTTCAGATGATGTGTGTGATGAGTTTTAGATGACATGAATGCGACATGCTTCAGATAATGTGTGTGCGATATATTCCAGATGACATGTATGCGATGTGTTTCAGATAGCGTGTGTAAGATATGTTTCAGATGACATCATGCGATGTGCTTCAGATAACGTGTGTGATATGTTTCAGATGACATTATGCGATGTGCTTTAGATAACGTGTGCGATATGTTTCAGATGACATGTATACGATGTGTTTCAGATAATGTGTGTGCGATATGTGTGTGCGATATGTTTCAGATGACATGTATGCGATGTGCTTCAGATAATGTGTGTAAGATATGTTTCAGATGACATGTATGCGATGTGTTTCAGATAATGTGTGTGTGTGATATGTTTCACATAACATGTGTATGCAATTTATTTAGATGAAATGTGTTAGCGATGTGTTTTGGGTGACGTGTCACAGTGTGTGATGTGTTTTAAATGTGCTGTTTCCTGTTTCAGGTGATGACCACGACACAGAGTATGAGTATGAAGGTAGTGACAATGATGAAGATGAGGACAACACAATGCCTGGAGAGCCAAGGTAGGTGGTGCACCCAGAAATCTTCAGCAATACATGGAGCCATGTGGTCTTGAGATCATGGCACTGAAGGCTGACAGAGTTATTTCCCCTTATCAGTCAGTGATGAAAGGAAACAAATGCCATTGGTTTTAGAGATGTCTGACTTTTGCACATGAATCTGTTTGGTTTGAAAATACTTCAGCATGTTAAAGCATTAGACTTACATCTAGACTAACAAGGGCGGTTTGAGTAGCCTAGTGGTTAAAGCATTCACTAAAGACTCGGGTTCGACTCCTGACATGGGTACAATGTGTGAAGCCCATTTCTGGTGTCCCCTGCCATGATATTGCTGGAATATTGTTCAAAGGGGCGTAAAACCATACTCACTCACTCAGTCTAGACTAACATCTATTCTCTGAAATGAACATAGTTTACAGACGAAAACAGTTGTTAAAATATAGTTATAAAATATAATAAAAAGGAGCCCAGAGACTATCTTCCTTTTCAGATACTGCATGTAATCTAGACTTGCCAAACATTATAGACTTGCATGGGCTGTATTGGATATATTTGTTTCAGGGTCTGGATGACAGAATACTGTTGCATCTAAACTTTGTGTTTCAGCTCAATCCTCCAAATCCCGGGCGAGTCCACCCTAAAACGTAACTTCCAGCAGATCCAAGAGAGGGAGGCTCGGGGCAATCAGCAGTCGCGCCATGCCCACGCCCACCACCACCAACAGCAGCAACAGCAGCAGCAGCGTCAACATGACCGCCGCAGCCAACATGGACAGCGTCCACACTCTGGCCACGGACAGCGTGTTCCATCTAGTCAGTACATCCCACCCTCACAGCCCCACGGCGGACATGAACCACCGAAACAGTTCCCTTTCCAGTCCAGGCCAATCGGTTTGTACCGCCAACGGCAGCAAATGTTTAAGATATTCAAACATGATTCCAATATGATTTTGTTTTGCTTTTATTAAAACCGACTCTTGGCTGATCCTGGCTGGCGCTGTTGTCCTTGTGGTCAGACTCGCTGACTTTGTTGATGCATATCATCGTATCCCAATTGCGTGGATCGATGTTCATGATATCAATCACTGGATTGTCTGGTCCAGACTCGATTATTTACAGACCGCCGTCATATAGCTGGAATATTGCTGAGTGCGGCGTTAAACAACCAACCAACCAACCAGTTGTCCATGGCCCAAGAATTTACTGTGCATAGATGCAGTCCTTTGGCATTTCAGATTGCCAGATTGGCCAGATTATAATTCTTGGTTTTGTCAGCACCCCATGTTACAAGGTGATTGCCAAATTGGAAAGCAAAGGTTAACCTTAGAGACTGGTTCAAACAGATCTATACTACTCAAAAGAAGTTAAGGATCACCGATTTTTTTCAGATTACTTTAGGTAATCTGTCATGGCATGACAAATTAACAATAGTCGTATGAAAGAACCGGGTGGTCCTTAACTTCTTTTGAGTAGTATCTATTTTAGATTCAGTAAGTGATCAGACAAGATCAATGAATAATCCATCAATTATTTTGAAACACTTCTGGGTTTACAATCACAGAAGGCAATAAAGTGGGTAAAATGAGTGGCAGCAGCAGAGGGTAACAGGCCCTTGTACTCAAGAATGTCCAAAATTTGTCATTGTGGGGTGTCTTGAAAGAGGCCCGTGATCTGTTCTTGAATTCGGAGTAGAGTTGGAAGATGGCAGGAATTCAGTTTTTTCAGATAGGTAACCAATCTGTTGGCAAGTAGAAAAGACGCAATTCAGGTCATTAAAAGGGTTTGAAGGACCTTGTGTGGCTCTTACATAGGTACTGCCAGCTTTCTAGAACCATCACGAAACATCTTAAATGATCAAATGGTCTTGTGTTTGTCAACAACCAAGGGAAGTAACTTTTACTCACTTCCCGTTACATTAGAGCTTCTACATCACTTGATATTGATATTTTACGAACGTTTCAGTCGTTTGCTCCCAGTGACCGTCACCACAAAGAAAGTTAGAATAGTCACATGACAAAGCTACAACAGTCACGGGTGGCCCAGTTGTCTAAGGCGCCGCGATTCCCTGTGCAGAGTTGCATCCCTTGGGCACGCCAGAAACCTATGAATGTGGGTTCGAATCCCCGTTCGCCCCAATTATGTTTCTAGGTTTGTCAGCACCATACCCGTGCCCGTGGGTTTCACCGAAGCGGTAAACCTCTGAGACCTGCATCACTTCGGGCTTTCCTCCCACATCAAGCTGACACGCTGTGATATAACTGGAATATTGTTAAAAGCGGCGTTAAACCCAACTCACTCACTCACTCTACTGACACATGACACACACCACCGCTTGAGGGTTTTACCACAGCAGTAAATGTCCGAGAACTGCATCAAGTCAGGCTTTCATCATAGGCCTAGCACACACACATCAACTTGCTCTCCACATGCTCTCCACATGCCCATAGCTTCTCAAACCCATTGATTGTTTTCACAATTTGTGGTATTTGTGAAACAGACCTGTTCATTTTAAACTCGACCGCCTCCGTGGTCTAATGGTAAAGCATCCGCCCGGAGAGCGGAAGGTCCGGAGTTCGATCCCCGGCCGTGTCATACCAAAAGACGTTAAAAAATGGTACTTGTTGTTACCCTGTCTGGCGCTCGGCATTAAGGGGCTAAAACAAGGACTGGTCGGCTCGGAGTATACTGTGTCTGAGTGGGGTATTCATGTTAAACTGCGGCATGGTATCTCAGTGGGCTAGTACTATAAATCGGCATCAGTCCGGACTAGTACAAGCAGCCACGTCTGTATATAAGTGCAATAATCTTGGACGCGACGTTAAACCCCATTTCACCTCATTTTAAACTCATGACTTACTTGAATTCATTGGTTGTCATTGTCTTCCAGTTATGCCAGACCCTAAGAATCCAAGCTCCAGCGCTGGGCAAGCTATGCAACTCGACCATCCTATCAGCCGTCCCTCCGGCATGTTTGGTGGACCTGTCAATAAACCAGAGGTAACAAAGAATAGAAGTAGAGTGCTTCAGAATGGACAGCCTTTACGTAAATCAAAATAATAATTCACATTTCTATATCAAGTATTGAGAAAGTAAATTAATGTTTCATCTGGGGATCTTTTGTTTGAAATCTTTTGTATGATAGCTGCAGCATGATACTAGGTTGTGATTTGGCTGTGTATGTGATAGATGTTTGATGAACTTACTGTAGTTGAAGCCTACATTCCTGTGAGGATTCCGGTTTAGAAAAGTCCCCAACAACCCATGTTTGTTGTAAGAGGGGATTAAATGGAACGGGTTGTCAGGCTTGGTGACTTGGTTGATTCTATGTCATCTATCCCGATTATGGATCGATGCTAGGGATGTCAATCACTAGATTGTGTGGTCCAGATTGTTAAGTGAGGTATTAAACCTCAATGGTAACAATGATGTTATAAACATGGGGCTTTTTTAATGTCGACTCTTAATGTTTTATCACTCTTATCCATGGTTCACACAGATTAAGAAAGAATAGAATATTTATGCCACGTGGTGGTCTTAGGCTCATTCCACAAAGAAAATTTGACCTGTGAAGATTCCGGGGTAGAATAGGTCTTCAGCAACCCATGCTTGCCATAAAAGGCGACTATGCTTGTCGTAAAAGGCGACTTACGGGATCGGGTAGTCAGGCTCGCTGACTTGGTTGATGCATGTCATTGATCCCCATTGCGTGGATCGATGCTCATGATATTAATCACTGGATTGTCTGGTCCAGACTCGATTATTTACAGACCGCCGTCATATAGCTGGAATATTGCTGAGAGTGGCGTTAAACAACAAAACAACCAACCAACCAACCAACCACAAAGATGATTTACGTCTAAGACTTACATGTGTACGAGATGTATAGATGTAGGACTTGTTTCATTTGTGTAACTTCCCATCACTGTGGGAACAGCATGAGCATGATTGGATTCATGTATACAATTTGTTTTTCTCCAGCTTGATCTCTTTATAAGGCTGTTAATTCATTGAATGGCTGAAAAGGTTGCAGTATGTATGACCGTACACTTTGGCTGAAATATACTTCACATACTAAGATATGACGCTATTGATGAAGTGGACAATATTGTCATTGCATGTCTGTATATTAAAAGTGGGTGTCAGAAGATGCTGAAGACGGCATAGTGTATATAGCTGTGTATTGCCTTGTGTATATATAGTACACTGACCAATGCATTATGGCTTTAGATATATGCCACTATGTTTCAATGAGGTAGATATGTAGAGCTGTCACTGCTTGTTTGTTACCACAGAATGACCAAGAGGTGAGAACAGCTATATTTTTTGCAGTCGCCGTAGCAACACGTTAACCCTTAGACTGCTAGACAATTCATATTTTCAAACTGATAAAGGGATAGTGTTGAGTGAGATTGCATTGTTTTCACAGATACTAACTATGAAAAATAATTGAAATATCTAACAAAAAATGGCATAAGTGAAAAAAAAGATAAGATTATCAAGCCATGTGGAATATGCGGCATAAAGTGTTCAGATAAACAGACTATTCACTTTTGTATCACTTGTTACATTTAATGCATGCTAAGTGGTGTAACAGATGACTTGAGCTAAATAACATCAGCATATTAAAGCATGCGAGGACGTTGAGCTGGTTGAAGGGTTAACTGCTTTTGCCTTAGTTGGGAGTTATCTCCCTTGCCAATTAAGATGGTGCTCAGTTAGCCATTAGGTAGTCGAGCTTTTTGCTAATGATATATGTGTATTCATCAGAGCCTACATCACCATGTCTTCAGAGCTTAACCTGATCAACATTGGAGCTTGTGAAGTGCAGAGTTTCACATCAGTGTTTTTTGTTGCACATAATCTCTGCTGCACAAGTGTGAGGGAATTACTTCTGTGTTTCATGAAATTCTTTTGCAGATTTAGTGTCCTCTTCTTCTGCCCTCCAGCCTTCTATTCTGTCTTGTTCATTCTGGAGTCTTAAACGTCTCACATCATGCAATGCACAAAGTTACAATGGGGTCTAAGAAATTATGCTTTACCCACAATGAAGTAAATGATTTTCATCTGCAACTTGATCAAAAATGAATTCTGATTGTTTTGTGTCGTTACAATTGAGTAATTTATCTTTATGTGAGAAAATTTTCTTTCTACTTTCTAAAGTTATTTGATCCTATTTAACTACAAATGCCCCATTGAATATTGGTCCATATACACAGATCTCTATATTATGTGGAGACTATATGGCTACTGTAATATTCAACTTGATGAATGTAACACCCTCAGTGCTCACTGACTGGATTTGTGTACTACTCATTCATGTTCCAAGTAGATAGTTGGTTTTATGTTGATGCATTTAACTCAGTGAAGATTACCCGTGAAGGTCCGCGGTAGCATAGGTCTCCAGCAACCCATGCTTGCCGATCTTCAGCAACCAAACTTATCGTAAGAGACGACTATGCTTGTCGTAAGAGGCAACTAATGGGATCCGGTGGTCAGGCTCGCTGACTTGGTTGATTCATGTCGTCATATCCCAATAGCTAGGATCGATGCTCATGATGTCAATCACTGGTTTGTCCGGTCCAGACTCGATTTTTTTACAGACCGCTGTCATATAGCTGGAATATTGCTGAGTGCAGCCTTAAACAAACAAATTAACAAACAAACCAATAAACAAACTAAGTGAAGAGATATTCAAGCGCTGCCTGCATCAGTGAAACACTGTATTTAAATACCAAAGTAATTATTTTAAGCTCTGTACTTTTCTGAATGATACATAAGCATGATAAGTGTCCTTCCATTTGTGCAGTATTTAAAGTCATCTCTTCTTTCTTATTAAAGCATTGTGCTTTATATTCATTCTGTATTACTTTGCCAGTTCAGTTGAATAAACGTGTCCCTTGTATTTTTGCAAGCTGTCAGTGAGTGTGGTTGTTAGGGTCAAACACAGTAAGTGTGGATGGAAATCATATTACTGCACACGGCTATACTCTATGGGTAGAACCACTTTGTAGGCAGGCACAGTTGCTGGAACTATTTCTTGATGCTTGAGCTATTAACTCTGTGTCTACACTGTAACAGGTAGATGAAGATGTCCTGATCAATATTGTCATGCACGCCCATTGTTATTCAAAGGGTCCACTTTCTTTTGTCAACTAAACTGTTTCAATATTTGTCTTTGTGCTCAGCATTTGGGAAGCCATTATATAAAACAGGAAACTAATATATTTTTGTAATGAAAGTTTGATTTTTATTAACTGCACTCTTCAGGGCTACATCTTTATTCTGTGGTCCATGGAGATTATTTCAGATGTTCAGAAGTCTTGCCAGTGTTTTGGTAAAGTTTTTGGTGTGAATAGGGAATAATTGAGAAACTTGAAGAAATACATGAAGCTGAGTTGTTTGGTAGCATTCAATAGCTTTATTTGCGATGTTTTGGATGATTTTAGGCGTTTCACATCGTCATGTGTGTTTCAGGACCTGGAGAGACTGGCTGCACATCTCAGTAAAATGGGTGCTGAGGAACGTCAGGCCCGAACTGTCATCGTTGAGGATGATGCCAGTGATGAGGACGAGGATGATGAAGATGACGACATCAATCGTGATGGCACCTTGCCTGCCTCAGAACCTGCCAGACCTCTGTAAGTTGTGTCGTATTAATGCCTGACTGTGAACATGGTGAATATGTGTCCACAGCTTAGTGTACTGTGTCCATACAGAGTTGGGGGTACGGGTGGCCCAGTCGTCTAAGGCGCCGCGATTCGCTGTGCAGAGTTGCGTCCCTTGGGCACGCCAGAAACCTATGATTGTGGGTTCACCCACCGGTTCGCCCCGATTATGTTTCTAGGTTTGTCAGCACCATACCCGTGCTCATGGGTTTCACCGAAGTAGTAAACGTCTGAGACCTGCATCACTTCGGGTTTTCCTCCCACATTAAGCTGGCAAGCCGTGATATAACTGGAATAATGTTAAAAGCGCGTTAAACCCAACTCACTCACTCACCCCATTTAGAGTCAAACAATTAAAGCTAATTTTTGTCAGATGGTCAGAAACAGGGTATGATGGATTTTACATGTTTGGTAAAACAGTGGGTGGCAGTTAAAAGAAGATTAGTAGAGAAAAATCAACATTAAATTTAGATGAGTTTGTGGGTTTTTGTACATGATACTTGTTCATATGCAGTGTTGAGAATTCTGAATGCTCATGGAGAATTGGTAGAATTTACACCAAAGCATGATTAATCAAGTAAGGGGATTATTTATCATTGTAAACTCCAAAATGTGGGTTCTGAAAATATGATGTTTTATGTCCCAAGGAGGATATTGTTTCATTCCATTTCATGTGTTGATGCCTTTTCGTGATACCAAGTTGCCAGTGTTTAAGGAACATAGCCTTTGACTCCTTTAGCAGCCTGCATATCTGGAGGCAGTATGTATATGACCGAGCTGTATGCTCTGTCCCTCTCTCTCTTTGTTATCATGTTACATGCCTCATGGAACCTTTGCTTCAGGACTCAATGCACTGCTGGCATAGCACCTTCAATTTGTAATGAAAGATGATGAAACCTTAATGATATGTTCTTTAAAAATAAGATGTTCCTGCGACCTAATCATCTGGTTAAAAAATCATCACCATCAGAGCTCCAGATAAGCTGCGTATCTGCGTAAAATACGCATCAGAAATGCAGAAAAATGCAGTAAATAAAATCCCAGGGTATCAAATACGCAACAAACATTACAGATACGCTACAAAAATAAAACTTGTGCGTATGATCAAAATATTGTGAAGTAACCCTGCGTATTCGATTAGCAAATCAGCAACTTATTTTGAAATTATAAACAGGCATTCCGTCAACCTTGCCAAACTCCACGATGACAGTTACATCATGATCATTTGCCATCACACTTTCTTGTGGAAGTATCGTGGTATTTTTGAGTCCTCTCGAACACACACGACACCAGTTTGCAGGGACTAGATGAATAGTGTTTTTAAATAATTACCTTAAATACCCACATGTGTAAAAACTAGTGGGTAACAGAAATTTGAATACCCAGATGGAATTACTGATACCCAATGGTTTTAAAATGCATGGGTAAAATACGGTACCCAAAACACCAAAAGCTTATCTAGAGCTCTGACCATGTTGAAACAGTTTGCAAATCATTATCTTGTTCAAACGAAATGACTCTACTATGACATGACCACTATGTACATGCTTTCCATGGGCTTGTCAGCACAGAGTTGGTTCCTGAAGCAGCTTCAGTTTCAATTTGCTAAGCATGCATTATGCATGGACAACATGATCTGACATTGAGTTAGTTACCTGGGTGGTCGAACACTGAAAGTGATTTTATGATTTAAACAGAATGCATTCAAGTCTAGTCAGCAGCTACTCGGTGTAAGTATGATAGGACAGAGAGGACTAGACGTGCCACCTCAATCCTCCTTCGGCGCGGCTTGTATCATATAGACCACCCTGTTTCAGTTTCACCCTTCTCTAGCATGGGCATGACCGACATGTTTTACTTTGTTTTTGTATGCTGTGTTTGTATGGTATATTTTGTTCCTTGTAGCGTTTTAGAAATAGATTTAACTAAATACACATCTCTCCCTTTGCTGTGCTCCCAAGGGTTTACTGGGTACTGGTGTAACACACCATAATGTGCTGTGCACTGTTGAATATTTAGTCTCACTGGAAACGTATGATAATGGGTTTGAAGGCCAGATTTGCCCGGATCATGTTTCTAGGTTTGTCAGCACCAATGTGGTAAATGTCTAAGACCTGCATCACTTCAGGCGGGGCGGTTGGGTAGGCTTGTCACGTCGAAGCCCTGGGTTTGATTCCCGACATGGGTACAATGTGTGAAGCCCATTTCTGGTGTCCCCCGCCTTGATATTGCTGGAATATTGCTAAAAGCGGCGTAAAACCATACTCACTCACTCACTTATCACACATCAATGCGTCACACCTTGACACGACTGAAATGCTGCTCAAATCAGTGATAAACAACTCTTAGTGCATGGGTGGCATCACAACTTGCTGTACAGAGTTGTGTCCCTTAGCTGCCAGTCTCCGACTGTTCCCTGCTTTCCTGGGGGCATGGGCAGCCTCGAGGTTTATGCGTGACTCGAGGTGCCGAGTTGTGTCCCTAAGTTACCAGTATATTCTGACTGCAAGTTCAGATCCCAGATATATCCAATGCTTGGCTTGTCAACATTTAGCCATTATGCCTGTGCCCATAGGTTTAACCTAGGAGGTAAGTGTCAAAGACAGCTTCCCTTGGATCTTGACCCTTGCATCCTGTTGACATGCTGTGAAGTTGCTGAAACACTAATGAAAGAAGCCTTATGTATCTTGTAGCATTTCATAATTGTTTCTCATTCTGTGACAGTAGGCATTAGAAGCATAACCGGTACTCAATAAACCATTCTTGTCATTACTTGGCCTAAGGTGCATCATCAGTGATCATGGATGTACATGGATAGATGCTCGCCATCTGAGACAACTCTGGGCTAGTATTGTTATTATAGTGCAACCGGCCGTCTGAAGGTTCTCCTGTTCTGGCCTAGATGTAATAGTTGTTATGATAGAATATTGGTGATGACATTTTTTCACTATTACCCACTATGCTTCAGCTTTTGTGCTGGTGTATAAATGATATATGCCATATGGAGGACAAAGTGTTATTGGGAGGCTGTACAAGGTGCTTGTTGCTTTAATATACCCATGTTCAAATTACAATCCTGGATATATGGTTCATTGTTATTTGCCATGATGCAACATGGTGTAAACAATAGTTTCCCCTAGAATGTAACTGAATTAGCCTTTATGTTATATTGTTGGATTGATGTGCAAAACACTATTGATGGAAGAGTGTACATTTCTTTAGAGTGACAATAATATACTTAATGTATATAATTCAATGTGAATAGACAGAAATAGTAACTTTATTTCTCAGAGCTAAGGAAGTAGTTTTATGGTTACTCAGAAATATAGAATGTTGTCACCATAGTTACCTTCAGGGTTGACGTAACCGTGACAATGTTAATTAAGCAAGAAAGTCAAGAGGATCCTGGTTGTAATGTTAAAAGTTTAGGTTTTTTTTTATTTGAATACTACAGGAGCAGACCTCAAGGCCCCAGGGGTAGACACCATTGGTCATATTCAGCGTGTCTGCAGCCAATTTCGGACTAGTGGTTATGTAAAATAACTAGATTTTGGTAAAAAAAACGGCCAGTCCGTCCAGATTTCTCTCGTCTTGGACTAACAGACTTGTGGCCTTGTCTATCCATGATGGACCCCAAGACCATCCTTAAAGTATGAACACTGTGATATGTTCACAATAGCCCTGGGAGGTCTTTGGATATATATGACTGATCTTGGCTGCATAAATTAAATGCTGGAGATAATGCTGGGAATTTGTTCAATCTACTATTGATCATAATCATAAAACAATAATCTGTGATCAGTGTGTGATGGATCATAATGGGAATACATTACAAATGCAAAATTCTACATTGGTAACATTTTTGCTCAGTATTTTCATGAATGAACAAAATAACAAAAGTTTCAAATTATCTTTTGCTTTTGCAATTATAGTGGGTGAGGTTCAGTTACTTTCAGACTTAACACCATCTGACTTTGTGCACTTCAGTTTATCATTGCCCCAAAGTTCACCTGATTGGTGGCTTAATTTTGAAGTTTCGTTGACCATCCGACCAACAATCATCAGAAAACTTGATGAATCTGATGAGGCTAGTAAGATAGGATAAATGATTTAAGTGATCTGACCCGTGAAGATCCGGGGTAGAATAGGTCTTCAGCAACCACTGCTTGCCGTAAATGGTGACTATGCTTGTTGTAAGAGGTGACTGACGGGATCGGGTGGTCAGGCTTGCTGACTTGGTTGAAGCATGTAATCCTGTCCTAATTGCGTGGATCGATGCTCATGATGTCAACCACTGGATTGTCTGGGCCAGACTCGATTATTTACAGACAGCTGTCGTATAGTTGGAATTGCTGAGAGTGGTTTTAAACAACAAACAAACAAACAAACAAAAGTGATCTGTACAGTTCTTTGTCTGATTTGCACAATGCTATCTTTGCTGTACAAGTCACAAATTAAAGGGGGGGGCACAAGTGGCCCAGTCGTCTAAGGCGCCGCGATTCGCTGTGCAAAGTTGCGTCCCTTGGGCACGCCAGAAACCTATAATTGTGGGTTCGAATCCCGGTTTGCCCCGATTATGTTTCTAGGTTTGTCAGCACCATACCCGTGCTCGTGGTTTTCACCGAAGTGGTAAACGTCTGAGACCTGCATCACTTCGGGCTTTCCTCCCACATTAAGCTGACACGCCGTGATATAACTGGAATACTGTTAAAAGCGGTGTTAAACCCAACTCACTCACTCAATCACACAAATTAAAGCCCCACACTTCCACTTGCAGCAAAGGGAGATAAGCCACTTACAGGAAAGTAGTTGTGTTTTATTCTGACCCTTTCCACTAGTAGACATTCAATTGATACTCATCACTTTGACATAGATAGTGGCATGTCATAACATGTTTTTTTCCTTTGTTTTAGCATCTTAAGATATTTCATAGTTTTTTGACAACCTTGCAAAACAAATAAATTTAGACTCAAGAATGACAATTAAAATGGTATTCCATGTATATTTTAAAGTGTACTGTTCTTCATCTACATATAACTGACTTCTCTCACGCTGGTGTACTCTTCAGGAGCTTTTCAGCTATCCCAGTGTCAACAACATATGTCATTGCCATTGTATTGCTAACAGTATGTATTGGTGCTTGTGTTCTGATTGATGTTCCTAACACATTTGTGTTTCCTGAATCAAACATTCAGCACGACTCTGTCTTTTTCAGTCCACCCGGTGGCTTCTCAGTGGACACAGGAGAGACCCAGTCTTCCATGGTTATACATGAAGGTAAGGATTAGAGTTACAACATCTTTAGGTCTCCCTGTGGGGATGATCCCAGACAGACTGGGTCCCCAGCATGACATGCGTTCTACCTGTGGCGATGATGCCAGACAGTGTCCCTCCCCACTATGCCATGCGTTCTCCCTGTGGGGATGATCCCAGACAGACTGGGTCCCCAGTATGCCATGCGTTCTCCCTGTGGGGATGATCCCAGACAGACTGGGTCCCCAGTATGCCATGCATTCTCCCTGTGGGGATCCCAGACAGATTTTTATACTCATGATGTACATTTTTGCAGTGATTTTACAGACGTTTCAATGTTAATTAATTTTTTAGAATTTGTCAAACTATAATGTGTCAAATTTTTATTGTGAATTGAAACTGACGTTATCTAATACCTATATTGATATGACATATTTGAAAACATGTAATGCAAGAAATAAGTGTGAGATGCTTGACACATAATGTGTATTTAATCCATCATATGTTTACTGTGCAGCAAGAGTTACTTCCCTTTATATATCTTGGTCTGTAACATCTTCCCCAAAACACTTCAAGGAAAATTGAAGTCAACTTTGTTTTGTTGACTTTGTAATGCCTGGGCCCTGTTCCACAAAGCAATCGTAGGTCCAAGACAATCTCAAATACCTTATTTTAACATACGCTTAACAATCGTAGCACAACGATTGCTTTATGAAACGGGACCCATCATTTTCCATTGTTTGATGGGACATCGTGAAGACATGTTCAGTGATGTTTGTTGGGTCTTGCAGTGATTTTCCTAGAGACAATTGGGATTGGGATGTGTTAATGATTTTATCAACTTTATAAGATATTCTTTCTTAATCATTACCAATTTTGAAAAAGATGTTTAGGACATTATGGAAATCAATCAGTCCAAGAAATAAACCAATACGTTATTCCTTGTCAGTGGCATTAGAGGTTGTGAATATTATGTTTATGTTTCTAGGGTTGTCAGCACCATTCCCTGCTCGTGTGTTTCACCGAGGTGGTAAACGTCTGAGACCTGCATCACTTGGGCTTTTCCTCCCACATTAAGCTGGCACGCCGTAATATAACTGTAATACTGTAAAAAGCTGTGTTAAATCCATCTCACTCACTCACTCTCCTTGTTTTTAGTCATATTTCCTTAGTCTACCATGATTGTTTTCCAGACATGCCACCACCCCGCGTGCCAAACATTGACTCGGGACACAATCTGAGCAAAGTCAACGAGGATGATGGAGAGAACACCCTGGTCGCCAGACGGGTGAGTTGCAACTTGGTTGTCATGGAGATCACAGTAACTACTGTCCGTATGGTTGTCTCATCACGTAACTAGAATCCCGGTCTTTCCGTTTCAAATAAGTTATCACTGTAATTATTTGTAGTTTGATATTAAAACAAACTACGCTTATATTTTTGGATATCTCATTTGTTAATATTAAAACGTACCTTACAAAAGATTATTGACCAAGATGTTTGTATCATGAAGATTTTCATCAAGGATGTGGTGATTCAGGCTCTAGTTCTTGTGATCTTCCTTATTCATCTTTTGGTGAAACCAGTTTCTTTTCCTCTTTTGTGGATGAGCAACCTCTACATTGTGGAAAATACTTTACCTGATTGAATATACACTTATTGCAAACCCCTCCTTACATCTGATTTTGTATTGACAGCGATTCAAGACATTTTGAGAAAAATAAATAGCACCCACCCTTGTGAATAGCTGCAATATTATTTAATGCAGCATTGAGCAATAATTACTTCCTCTTGATGAATAGGAATTTTCAAAATGGACATTAATTTTGATTTGTAATGCCGACCAATGCTGTTGTTGTTAGCTGCTTCTGTATATTAATGTATTGGTCAGAAGAATTCATAAAGAAGAATGAAACTGGTTTGACTGAGGTATTAAGCACAACACATTGATATGATACATGTACATCGATGCCGTAAAAGGTGACTATGCTTGTCGTAAAAGGCGACTAACGGGATCGCGTGGTCAGGCTCGCTGACTTGGTTGATGCATGTCATCGATCCCCATTGCATGGATCGATGCTCATGATATTAATCACTGGATTGTCTGGTCCAGACTCGATTATTTACAGACCGCCGTCATATAGCTGGAATATTGCTGAGTGCGGCGTTAAACAACAAACCAACCAACCGACCAACACGTACATCGATGATCACACTGTTGGTATTCTGATTTTTATGCAGAAGGATGACAAGGAAGAGGTAGGACTAGGACTGCTACATATGCAGACAGCAAATAACACAAACATTATCACATAGACTAATCACATAGATTAACCACAAGGACAGGCTGCAATGCAGCGATTCTTAACAATGTCCCCTTGGCAGGGACATTCGGAAAAAATTGTTATTTTGTTCAAAATTGGGATTTTTCAAAAGTTCTTAACTTCTTACATTCAGAGATATTTTGAGATTTCATTTAATGCAATAATATAAACAATGCATTAAGACTTAAAAAAATAAAAGAATTGGTTCTCAGGCAATGACTTTTGAAAATATAGTCGTGTGGGCGTTTTTTTTTTTTGCTTGTTCAGACTAGTATGTCACCAAATAAACAGATATGTACTATCAACCTGGAAAGGGTCTCCCTACATAAACAAGCATACAAACTCCCATTGCCGCCATGACCATAACACAAGTAAGCAGTGAATCATGTGTGCATGTAAAGGGAAGTGACTGCGTGCTATATTTGATCTAATTGTGTTTAAGCATTACAAGTTTTATATTTTTTTGAAAATAAAAATAAAAACGAAACATGCGGCCAACTTTATGATGATGCGGGCAGGTTTTTTGAAAATAGAAATAAAAATGAAACGTGCGTCAGACTTTATTATGATGCGGGCAGTGCCTGAGAACCAAGACTATTATTTTTTTTAGCGTAAAACCTGTTACTATTTATAGGTCTTGTCACAATTAGTTTGTCCCATTATGAAATATTGTCAATGTGACGTTAAATGTTAACTCACTCACTCATACAATTAGGTATGAGTTATATATATTGCTACACTATAATATGAATTTGGATATCCAAATTGGATATTTTTGCCGCCAACTGGTGTCGGAATATCGGCCTCTAAGCACATCCAGATAACAGCTTCACTAAACCTGCTAGTAGTAGACAGAAACACAGAACCTTGGGGATGCCGGATAACAGTGGCAGTGATTAGAGGACTCATGCTGATCTTACACCTAGAACAATCTGTACACCTGACACCTAACCGTGGGGAAATTACTACATATGTTATAACACGTTATTAATCTGCAGGTTTTGAAAGATGTGAATGTTCTTAGTCAAGTAATTTGGGTGCTTCTGGAAACATAACTCACACTTATGTGTTCAATAGGCGACATTCAACTTTCTCTATCCATATTCATGTTTAAGCTATGTGTCACATTTGAGAAGTCTGTACAAGACACGATGAATCTGTTTTTTATTAAGTCGTCATGGACAATCTCACTTAATCATCGACACATAAAGGTTATCTTTCACTTTCTGTAAGCTACAAGCAGTAAATGTCAAGAAAAGTTTAACCTTTTTTTTTGTGACCGTGTATGAAATTATTGTCATATTATCAGAAAAAAAATGTCAGACAATTTGTCTGGAAAATTTTATCTAATGTCTCTAATTTTTTATCTAATGTCTCAAATAACCAAAGACGCTGGCTATGGGTTTGTCGCACACTGTTCTAAATCTCTACAGGAGTCGCTTGTTTATCAGAGTTGACAAATGAGACATCCTAAAATGGGGTTATATCTTTATGAGCTAGTTCGGTAATCTATATGTTGACATTCACTGATATGCCGAGGTTTATGCACAAGAACAAGGTTAACAGTTCCATGTGATACGGTGTCAACAAACACAACAATACAACAAGATATATGCACCCTGAAACACAGAATACAGAATATTTATCATCCAGATGATAAACAGAGTTTTAAAACTTGTTAATTGTGGTGTATTTTTTTCTTTCCAAGATTCTATTTCAGGTGACGTCTGACAAGGTAAGGTGGTTTTGTGTTCTGGATTTGTGTTTTTGACTCTAACAGTTTGTGGTCTTGATGAAGGACAAATTGCTTGATTTGGGTTTGAAGTTGTTAACTTGACTGGGGTTCATCAATGAAAGTGGAAACAGTGTATCAGCTGTACATCTGTAGTATTTGGTGTGTACAGGCCTTGACTGAGAACTAAGGTTTTGCTGTGTGTTGTGTTGCTCAATTCTGATACATAGGAAGTGAAGATCTAACTTTATAGACATGTCTGAAAATCAGACCAAAAGCTTCGTTATATTGTGTTGTCAGGATCAACTATCCCTGATGAACACCATCAAGCCAGGTTCCTGATGAGCAATGTTATCTAGCCCTGATGAACAAAATCTGGCCCCAATGAACATCAACTGTCCCTGATGAACACCCTCTGGCCCCAGTGAACATCAACTGTCCCTGATGAATGCCATCTAGCCCTGTTTAACACCATCTAGCCCTGTTTAACACCATCTAGCCCTGATGAACACCATCTGGCCCTGATGAACACCATCTGACTCTGATGAACACCCTCTGGCCCTGATGAATGCCATCTAGCCCTGTTTAACACCATCTAGCCCTGTTTAACACCATCTAGCCCTGATGAACACCATCTGGCCCTGATGAACACCATCTGGCCCTGATGAACACCATCTGGCCCTGATGAACATCAACTGTCCCTGATGAATGCCATCTAGCCCTGTTTAACACCATCTAGCCCTGATGAACATCATCTGGCCCCAATGAACATCAACTGTCCCTGATGAACGCCATATAGCCCTGCCCCTGATGAACAATTGTCATCTAGCCCTGTTTAATACCATCTAGCCCTGTTTAACACCATCTAGCCCTGATGAACACCCTCTGGCCCTGCCCCTGATGAACACCCTCTGGCCCTGCCCCTGATAAACACCCTCTGGCCCTGCCCCTGATAAACACCATTTAGCCCTGATAAACACTGTCTGGCCCCAGTGAACATCAGCTGGCCCTGATGAACACCATCTAGCTCTGCCCCTGATGAACAATGTCATGTAGCCCCAATAAGTTGATAAAGGTCATTTTTGTGATTTTGGTAATGTCATATTGTAATAAACAATGTACATTCATTATAAAGCTGAAGAAAACCATCACAGTACTTCTTGTCACTGAGAAGGTAATATCTGCTGTACTGGGAGGTTGAACGAGACAATATACATTATATCACACCTAGATCTCCCAGCCATTGTCTATCAGGCTAATGTTAATATCAAATGTTATAAATGCTTTATCCTTTGTCCATCAGGTTTGTTTTACAGGGACAGGTTATTCATGATGCACACATATCATTAGAGGGCTTTTTCCTGGGAATGAGGCATTGTTCTTAAAAAAATTGTTTTTAATAAAAATAAAGTTCTACATGTCATATATAAAGGAAAAACAGTCCTTCATTTGTATGTGGGTAGAAACAAGTGCCATCACAGAAGCTATTTTTGCCTCCCTTATGATACCTTGTTAATTATCCACATTGCTGCCTTCTAACACGCCCACAGAGCATTGCCTACTAATTTGAGCCGGCAAAGTGGTTGTCATAAGTCGCCAGAGGTATCACTCCGTCAGTGATGTTGCCCGAGGAACTTCAAGAATTCCTTCAAGGTACTGACTGGCCGAAACATTCAACATTTGCCCATTTACTCAAACTTAATCAGCATCTAATTCAATTTTTTTGCGTTGCTGCTCAACCATCACAACTGACCCACCCCTTAAGCAACACAAGGCATGGAAACAAAGACCTGTGATAACATGATTATTCCCAATGATGTGCAATACCTTCCGAGGCATGTTTCTATAATCGTATTCCCAAGATAAAATTACTTGTCATTGGGATAGGCCTTCGGCAGAGATTGCATTTTCTCAACCATTTCCTTTGCAATTTTGCAAGTGAAAAGAATTTCAAAATGGATGCTGTGTCAGACATCATTCTGAAATTGTCAAATCTTAAATTTCATCCTTTGTTTGAGACCTGTAGCTGACATGAGGGAATTTCGATTTCACTCGTGCCATCTAAACATTTGTAACAGATTGATCAGCAGCAGTACCAGGGAATATGATTTGAATTTCACGGCAAATATGACAAGGAGACATTGATTTTTGTGAAAACTGATCATTATCCGTCTCTATTCCAGACACAGTTTCACATTCCTACTTTAAAGATTTTGATTTCTTCTCATGTTTTCTGAAATTTCACCACAATTTGAGTGTTCTTGTGTGATTGTTATTCAGGCAGCGTGTTAAATCTCCAGTTTCTTGGGTTGAATATTTGCAGACAAAATCTGGTTATGTAGATAGTGAGTACAATTATCTTAGAATATGTGTCCATGATCAATCCTGAATAAAGATTATTCAATAAGCCAGACACAAAGTGATGGGCTCTGAGTCTCCAACCTACAGATGCTTCAGTTTATTACTAAATGCAGGACAAAATCGGCCATCAAAGCTTGCATTTATGAATACGTAAGGCCCTTGTCTCATGGTGAGATAAAAACGAAATATGAATTGCTCTTCTAAAGTCAAGTCTGATGACTGGAGTTTGTATTCATCAAGGTCAGATCCCTTTGCAAGTTTTGGCGTGAATCTTCCCTGAAATTACATTCTTATGTTTTTGATCAAGGCTTGTTTTGATTCATTCGCAGACCTATGACACCGGCTAAGTAAGGCAAGCTATAAGATTTGCCCCTTCCGCAACAGAAAACAAGTCATGCCCACTTTACATGCTTATTGCAAACAGCACTCGAGTAAAGATGCTTGTCATAAGAGGCGACTAACGGGATCGGGTGGTCAGACTTGCTGACTTGGTTGGGCGGATCGATGCTCATGATATTAATCACTGGATTGTCTGGTCCAGACTCGATTGTTTACAGATTGATATTATCCAGCTGAAATACTGCTGAGTGCGGTATCAAACAACAAACAAACAAAATCACTCACACACTTGGTCGCACAGTCACTCATATACCACACTCATTCATATACCACACTCACTCATATACCACAGTCACTCTCATATACCACACTCACTCATATACCACACTCACGCATATACCACACTCACTCATATACCACACTCACTCATATACCACACTCACTCATATACCACACTCACACTCTTTCATACACAATGACAGCCTCTTACTCTTCAGTGTTTCAAGATAGCCTCCACCAGTACAGGATATTGTTGGTTTATTTTCATTGAATCTGTTTTCTGATCTATTCCACACTCATGACAAACTAATCTTTCCTGTAAACATGTTTTCTGATTCACATAGTGATAAAGGTTGAAGATTGGATAATTCAGACATAGCAAGATATTAAAACAAACACTGAAACATTATTATTATCCTCATGTTCATGTGTTTATACTGCACATTATGCTTTCCAGTGCTCTCTAAAATACCATATTCGACGTAATTAGTGCCCCCCTCTAATAAGCGCCCACGGCGATATTAGCTTATATATTGGCTAGTGAACAATCCTAATTAGCACCCCTTCCGATTGATCAATGTACACAAGACTTATTTATTCACATATAATACACACTCCTGTGTTTTATGCACCCTTAATTATGGGCAATTAAATTCCCGAAAAATATATCTGTTGTATATAAACATTACAGGCTGTCAGCAAATTTACGATCTTTCAGCTGTTTTTTTTCTCTCACAAAAATAATATTCAAATGAGAACTCCCTATTTCTAATTTTGAGAGCACCCTGGGTGCTTAGTACGTCCAATACGGTACATATTTTCTCAATATATTGGGTTATCATTTTAAAAAAAGAAAAAGTTTTACGAGCAGCTTGCTCCAAAAAAATCATGTAGGATGTGTGAAGCAAGTGCCAGGAAACATGGTTGTATATTGAACACATGCATCGCATGTGCCAGAGTGGCGGCTGCTGACATGTGCTGATACATGCGCATCTTATATGTGCTCAATGTGTGCTGCACTACACAACAAACTCTTGCTTTTCTCTGCAGTGCACATGTTAATATGCCAGTGTTAGAAATTGGCACTAGTCCTGTCGTCCTTGCCAACCTGCCCAAAAGTTAAGGTATCATAAGGACAAGTAGAAATTTGCCGTTTTAAAGGGTTATGCTATATGTCATCATTATAAAGACTAGTGGACTAATTACTGTTAGTTTCTACCGCTGGCGGGGACAAGGGTGGCCCAGTCGTCTAAGGAGCCTTGATTCGCTGTGCAGAATTGCATCCCTTGGGCATGCCAGAAACCTTCAATCGCTGACTTGGTTGATGCATGTCATCGATCCCAACTGCGTGGATTGATGCTCATGATGTCAATCACTGGATTGTCTGGTCCAGACTCCATTATTTACAGACCGTCGTCATATAGATGAATTATTGCTGAATGCGGCGTAAAACCACAAACAAACCTACAAAAGGCTGGTAGTTGCAACTGTAGAATCCAGTAAAAAGCTGTTGAGCAAGTTAACTAAAATGGGCCCATGTGCGTTAAATAAATGTCCCAAGTCACTTTCATATTGACCCTGAAACACAAACATCTGAAAACTCCTTGTTTTAGCAAATCTACAATACTTTGGCAAGTTGAGATTTCTTCAGTGTCAGGCTCATTAGTATATATTAAAAGACAATTTAACCCAAACAAATCTTAAGGGGCGGTCGGGTAGCCTAGTGGTTAAAGCGTTCGCTCGTCACACCGAAGACCAGGGTTCGATTCCCGACATGGGTACAATGTGTGAAGCCCATTTCTGGTGTCCCCCGCCGTGATATTGCTGGAATATTGCTAAAAGCGGCGTAAAACCTCACTCACTCACTCACTCACTCACTCACCCAAAAAAACCTTAAAGTGTTTTTACTTCATAGACCAAATGTTAGTGTTGTGCCAAATTTACCTGTTTTCTGCCTGTCCTGCTGCTGAGGGGATGGTCATGTTGTAATCCTACATGTCCCATGTGAAAACCTAACAGATGGG